TTATTTCGGCAAAGCGCCAGTAACAGCCTTTTCGGATCATGCGGCTGTTGGTAGACTTTACTCGGGAAAAACCTAACGCCCAGGTTAATAAGATGGGCTTTAAAACTCCAAGAATATAATATCAGAATAAAATATAAACCGGGTAAGGAAAACAATGTAGCTGACGCACGTTCTCGTATAAAACTGGACGATGAAGGAAATGAACTTAAATGCTCTGTGTTGACTTAAAAAATCTTAGATTCTAGAGATACGATTATCACTGAACTGAAAGTTGATCCTGAATTTGGAATTATCTATGCATATTTGAAAGACCCGAAAGCTTTGAGCACACAGATATCGATGCGATAAGAAATAGAGCAGAAAACTATGAAATAATAGATAATTTATTATTTTATACGAAAACAACAAACGAAAATCTCGAGTACAAACCAGTCATCCCAGCCTCGCTTCGATTAAGCATTTTGAAGGAATTACACGACGCGAAAACAGCGGGTCATTTAGGGGTCAGAAAGACTTTAGAAAGGGTACGCGAGGCGGTATATTTCCCGCAGTTATACAAAATAGTAACTGCGTATGTCAGGTCCTGCAATCAATGTCAGTTAATAAATGATATTAATTACAACCCGGCCGGGTACTTAAATAGCATTCGCGCTACATTTCCGAATGAAATTTTAGGCATAGATCTTCTTGGTCCCTTCCCCCAGAGCGAGTTAAATAAAAATCCTTTTCTTTTTGTAATAGTAGATCATTTTTCAAAATGGACAGAAATTGTTCCACTTAAACGAGCGTCACCCAAAACAGTCGCAGATGCATTCTTACACAGATACATTTTAAAATACGGTGCACCGATAAAAGTCATTAGCGATAACGGAAAACAATTCATTAGTGAAATATTTGAAAACATATGCACTGGACTTGGCATACGCCATATCAAAAAGGTTCCGTATAGACCACAGGCAAACATAGCAGAAAGAGTGAATAAAAACATCGTAAAAATAATTCGCAGTTACGTTAGCACACATCACAAGCGCTGGGATGGCTACATAAATGAATTAGCTTATGCTTTAAGAACGGCAAATCACGATACTACGGAAAAAACTCCAGCAGAATTATTTTTAGGCAGAAAGTTAATTACGCCTTTAGATAAATTATTCTTTGTGCAACAAAGAGAGCAAGGGTTTAAACAGAAAGATGTGCAAAAACTTATTGATCAGGCGCTTAAAAGCTCGGATACGGCAAGAAATAAGCAAAACGTGTATTACGATAGAAAACGCCGTGAAGCAGATTTTAAAGTTGGGGATAAAGTATTGAAGCGGAAATTTTCTTTATCAAGTGCCCCAGGCAATTTTACTGCAAAGTTAGCTCCAAAATTTGAAGGAACCTATGTAATTCAGGAAATCAAAGGAGTCGTATTGTACCTTAAGAACGAGAGAGGGGAAATCTGTAAAGCACGTCCCGACCAGGTGAAAAAATACTATAATCCAAATGATTTTGAAATCCTTAAAAGTTTCTTGCAGGACTCAAGTCTAAAAGAAGTAGAAAGCCCAGAAATAACGACAACCGTTCCACCATTCAAGAAGCAGAGAACTGAAGAGAGACCTAGCTCTTCTACAACCCAGACGACGGTACCAAAAAGAAAAAGTGAAAACTTTCGGACTTCAGCATTTAAGAAAAACAAGAATGAAAAGCCACCGCGTAAAGAAACCTTGGTAAAGAGGAAAACACCACCTACATCTTATCGCAGTAGAAATTATACATCAAGGAGAACGCTCCCAGGGCTAGAGAGTCAGGTGCAAGCAAGGCCGCCGTTCCGGAAACTGAAAAGACAGCAGGAGGAACGAAAATACCAGGAACAACAGAAGAAATTCAAGAAGGACTCCAGACCGGAGGACGTCAAGACCAGCCGTCCAATGGAAAAACGGAAAAGACAGCAACCCGACGATTATTCCGCCAAGAGACCAGCATGCAGAGGACGCAAAAGAAAAACTAATGTGGACGACACTCGGAGGTCAGTAAGGAGAAGATTGACGTCCATGAAACCTATAACGTGGGAACAATTTTGCCAGAAAAGAATGACGGAGTTTCAATCATCGAAAACTTAAAGATAAGTTAAAATCTTCTATAAAATTTTTCTTTTCTTCCGAAATGTTATGCATAAGTACGAAGTTCTATGTTTTGACGAAAGTCAATATGTCTCGGTTGAGACTTAGTTTTGTTTTACTTTATTTAGCTAAGGCAAAAGTATTATTTTCTTTAAGTATAAAATCTAAGGAAAAGCATTTTCTATTGGTCGAAAGACTAATTCTGTTATGTTAAAGCCAAAAATTGGCCGAAGATAAAAATAACTTCGTATTCTTGTATTAATAAGAATTTTAGTTTCAGTGCCGCCAGCTTGGCGAAGAATGAGTAAAGTAAAAATTTGTTTTCTCTTATTCATTTTATGGTAAATTGTAAAAATCAAATGTATTAAAATTTTGTAAATGTACGTAAATACTTGAATGTTATGTAAAAGTAGAATTTAGTCTAGAAGCATAAAATTTTAGATGCTAAAAGTAAATGCTTAAAGCAATGAATTCAAAATTTAAGTATTAAACTGTAGATAAAATCATGCTTTAGAGCGAAAGCCTGCATGTCTAAAGATGAATGAGGGGGAAGTTAGAATGAATGTGTTTTGTAGGGTTCTCCACCTACACTTGAATTTTTAAGAATGTTAAAGTAGCTCATCGAGTTGTAGAATGTCGAGTAAGGTGTGTCTATTTGGTCGTTGAATTCTAACAAATCATGGTGGTTAGGGAAGTGTTGTAAGACTAAAACACGAATATTCTCGTTTGACACCACACACGGTGGAGAGCCAGGGTAAAGTTAAATTAATGCTTGAAAAATTGAATGAATGTGAATTAAGCAATAACTAAGGAAAACGAATCGTTGAAAAACAAAAATTTATTCAGTGTCAAGAAAGTGTAAATTATAATGTATTTAGAAAGATACTGATACTTATTCCTTCCAGATGCTGGAAGGAAAAGAACAAGATTGGTTGATGAAGTCCAGGAAAAGTTGCTGTAAGAAGAGAGATTTATATAAGTATTGACAGAAATTGAGTATACATTTTGTTACATAAGATTTTTTTTTTTTTTGTGTAAACGAGGCTCTTAGTTAGTTCAAAATTATAGAAACTTTACAACAGGTCGTTTATAGGACCTGCTTCCAAGTTTTCCAAATTCTGGCAGCGGCAAATGTAGGGTTTATATTTATTTTAACTAACATTTATTTTAAGTTTAAACTATCTTTCCTGTCAAGCATTACTTTCCCCTGGAACTGCCAATGCCAGAGTATGTAAATTTTAGTAGAACGCGCAAGGATTGAAATTATCTGCGGAAGTATTCTGAGTTAAATACTCGTAGAAAGGAAACGAGTTCGAGATGTGCTGTTCTTACTTCACGAGCGCGGAAGTAGTTAGACAGAAATTGAAGAACCCCGCGTTTCGGCCTGTGTGCTTGCCTCGGAGAATTGTTAATTGTTCAACGTGATATTCAAAGTTTGCTGAATTAGCAGCGGTATTGTAAAACGCGATGAGGTTAGTTACTTTTAGAGAGCCTCGTAGTTAGAGTCTTGTTATTATTTCTTTTCAGGTTCTTATTTTTATTTTACCGCCGGGTCGGCGTAGTTTGTGAGCGTCAAGAGCACGCAATTGTAATTTCTTAAGTTGAATAAAAAGGGACTTAAACCCTTAGCAAGACTCTGTCTATTTTCCAGTTTCAACAGTCACCTCTTGGTTGCGTGCAGGTTGGAGGCGCGCAACTCTACAATCTGAAGGTACTAACACCTCCTGTGAGGTTCCTAAGGATGCTTTAGTATATTAATAACAGTTTCATACATAATTATTGAGGTGGAAGAGATTCTGCTCAAATATAAGATTTTTGTGTTTACAGAACAATGACCAATAGTATGTATATGTATGACAATTGTACAATGTATACAGTACCTAACGCACACATATATACATGCGTGTGAATGTTAAATGCAATACACTTAAGGCATAATTAAATAAACATAACAATGTTATTAAATCAAAAGCTCAGACAATGTTATTAAATCAAAAGACTAAGTTTAAAATTAAAATTATGCACACATTATAAATTAACGATCACTTAAAAGATTGCGTAAATGCTTGAAGTAAATACAAGACCATTTAAAGCTTTCAATCATAATTAACGTTTTTATAAATTCAATGCATTTATCATTAAAATTACACCTAAATATTTAAAATTCTGTTTGAAAGTGCAGTAGTTATAATTAGTATAACTTGAGATAATATTTTAATTACTGTGTTTAACAGTTAAACTCTTAGAATTTGATTTAAAAGTTTTTGGATAATTCTAGCACTTATTCTCTCGCTAAGTATCACTTAACTTTGCATCAATCTCCATTCTGTTCAACAAGTACCTGAAATAGCATTCATTCATTGCATTGCAAATGTTCTTAACTGTTGCGAGGTTTTTGACAATACATTTCCTATAAAAGTCCATATTGCAGTTCGGCTTACGTAAACGCGTGGTAACTATAAGCGGACAATAAAAGGCATTATGGTCAGGTGCGCTTTCTAATCTTCAGATACATGTATTTGAGAAGCAAAAACGCTGAAAATAGGTTGGTGATAAAAGGATGCATGCCCCGTAGAGAAATTAGTTCGGTGTGAGATGGCTTATGCGTCCATTTGTGCTGAATTTAGGAATGAAACTATATGTGTGTCTGCCAGTTTCTATCAGATCCCATTCTGTTTGCCATTGTTGTATTGCATTTTCATGTAGAGTTCGTTTTAGATAAGAGGAAAGTGCAGGGATTTAATCAACTCTGCTTCATAATTACCACTTGCTTCTCTAGCTAGTCTGTCCACTGCTCTTATCTATGAGACCTACATGGGCGTTAATGAGAATAAGTTCTACATAGACTTGATTGCAATATTGTATATTTCCTATTAAGGGGGAGGTATGGTTGTGATTCAATATTGAGTGCATAGACATATTGTCAGTGTCATCCTTGCGCAGGGGCCATGCTAATCTTCTCTGTATCATTCCAATTTAGTTTATGTACTGCCAAAGCAACACATATTGTCAGTGTATATAATTGCATTTTGATGCTATTTTAATTACGAACTGAAGGGCTGTTGAGATACCTGATGCTTCGCTAAAGTGCCTGTGCTTTCTAGAAGCTCACTAAAGCACTCACGAACGTGATCTTTTAGATGACTGATGCATTGCGCTTGAACTTCGTGATTTAGATAACCTCACAGAATGTAATCAGGTGCTGAGAAGTCAGGTGAGTGGGAAAGCCAATGCCTAAAAACATTTTCTTCAGAAATCCCATGAAAGGGTTTGCATTATAGGCTATCGCTTCATCTTGTCGGTACCATAAGTGACAATGAGAATTGAGTTCATGAAGCAGAAATTTTGCAACTTATGTAGAGCTTAGCATTTGATGTTACAATACAGCCCTCGTGTCAGAAAATATGCATAAGTAATCCATTCGGAGGAAATTGCTCTCCATACTGTCACGGTTTATCTATACATAAGATGTTCCATAATTCACAAGGGTTGCAGCTCAGAAACCGCAGTTCTTTTTGTTTACATACACGGACAAGGTGAAATGGTTCTCGTCTGACATTAGTAACCTATTCACAATATCATGTTCAACTACCAGGCACTAAAAGAACTCGTTGCAGATTTGAAATCACTTCATTTTATCCTGTTCAGTAAGCTCACGTACAAAACTTATCTTGCAAGAATGGTAATGACTATGTTAAAAAAGATTTCTGTGAACTTTGGCATTCACCAACTTATGTGCGATACCTTGTTGCCGAGCTGACAGTCGAGAACTGCGCAAAATCATGTCACATACACGATTCGAGGTTTTTAGTAAAATTACCGGAGAAGGACATCCTGCAGATTTACTGTCTTTTACAATTCCTTTTTGTCATGAATACCCATAGCAACAAAATATTGCGATAATGGGCATCCCGTCATCCACACTTCTGTCGAAAATTGCACTGCGTGTAGTGCTAGATTATGTCTTTATACGTATACTCTTCTATTGCCGCAATGTGGTTTTGCGCAGACTAACACTCAAATGAGCGTCAGAGGATAGTGCGCGTAATAGTATTACAGCGACGTGTGTAGGTGTCCTGAAAGTAAAAAAATAAATTCCATCAGATTTATTCTTTTACTCTCATGTTTCATATTTTAGGCTGCTCATATTAAAGGCTTTCACAAAGTAAGGAATAGGGTTCATTTAGAGTTTTTATGAAAATATCAGCTAGCTGAGGAGGAAAGGATTTTGTTTATTTTGCGAAAACCGTGATCGAAACGTTATGGTAAGCAAGCAAGACACAAGGTAATACAATTTTCGTTATGATCAGATTGCTATCTCAGATGTAGGCCTTCGTTGAATTGCGGAATCTAGAGACGCTAGATTTGTTCGAACTTGCAGTAAAATCATAAACTGGCAGGAAATGATTGTGAAGTTATATTTAGTGATAAATTCGGTGCTAGACATATTAACAGATTTGACAGGAAATGTAACGGAAGGACTTGTTAAAGAAATATAAATGCTCTGCATCTGAATTTGTGGTCAACTGAGTCAAATGGTGATCGGCGAGATGAGCCTTTTGAATTAGAAAGAGGCGATGATGGTCAGAGATGTCATTATAATGAAAACGGCCTCTCAACTGCGTTTAAGAATGGTGTTGGTATTATTAAGGTAATTGGTATTGCTATGGTATTGCTAAGTAATATAGAAATGAATGCTTCATATACAGGTAATATATAATAAAATTCCTTGAGTGGCGTTATTGGATACCGGACTTTCAATATTTTGAGTGCGATATTAAATGTGGAAGTTAACCACGAAAAACTTCTGTTTACAATCCGAATTTGCAGGTGATTGGTATTGGAATCATGTTTAAAGCAGCAGACGCAAGAGATGACTTTATGGCAGACACAGTGGAAAATATGACTGTTTTGGATATGGGACAAAGGTTATGGCAAAAAATAAACTTAATATATATACCATCTTCAAGATTAATTACTTAAGTTTATTGAGTGTACCCAATACGCAAATAAATTCCACCTAGAACGTTTGAATGCGTTATGTACGGGCAATAACTCAATTGTTAAAAAATAACAAAATTATTGATTTTAACATTCGATAATATTAAAAGAATTTTACTTACTTATATAGTACCATTATGTTTTACTATAAAAACATTACGCAGACTTTTCTGCATTTTCTGCATTTCTGTTTTTCTGAGTAGTTACTATAATTAATTTACTAATTTCTTATATATATATATGGTAACAGTTAATTCTACGCAGCCATCAGAGGGCATCACCTATGATCCTTCAGCGAGAGCGAGGTGAAAGAGATAGATGACATATGGACAGACGTCGATCCCACGCGAAGGTGGTAACTACACTCATGTCCATAAATTAAGGATAATTCAGAGTCACGTGGAAATCAAAGTCTAAAATAAATATATCACCTGTAAAATCACTACACACACAGAATCATATGCAAATTTCAGGAAGTAACCAGATGACACCGATGGTACGTCACAATGACGAGAGTGTAAGACAGTGATACTCGTATATAAGGAATACAGGCAAAGAAGTAAAATTGTTCGCAGGCGCTTTATAAGCATTTCAGTGCAATAACCGAATAGTTATGACACAAAGGACGCATTTGGATGATTTTTTACGTGGTAGAGTTATCGGCCGTCTGGAATGTGGGCGTAACCAACTGGAAGTATCAGACGAACTTGGAATTACCCAGAGTGTCATCTCCAGGCTTTGGCAACGATACCAAGATGATGGTAATGTGAGTAGACGTTACAGCACAGGTCGCCCCAGAGTTAAAACGCCGAATGAGGACCGGTATTTGGAAGTTACTGCCAAAAGAAACAGGCGGAGCACAACCTCGGACCTGTCTCGTCAGCTCTCTTCAGCCACTGGTACGAAAATTTCAAGGCAGACCGTGTACAGGCGCATAGGGCAGATTGGCCTATATGTCGTAGACCTGTCAGATGCGTTCCACTTACTGCAACTCCCTGTCGCCTGCGGTTAGCCTGGAGTAGAGAGGATGCATTGTGGACACCGCAACAGTGGGCTTGTGTGATGTTTTTCGACGAGTCCAGGTTTAGTTTGCAGTCTGATTCTCGCTGGACATTCATATGGAGAGCTCCAGGTACCCGTTACCACCAAGAAAACATCATTGAACGACACCGTTACGGTGGTGCAAGAGTGCTCGTTTGGGGTGGAATTATTCTGGGTTCCAAAACTGACCTGCATGTTCAAATTGTAACCATGACAAGCCAAATCTATCGAGACGTCATTCTGGAACAACATGTACGTTTGTTTCGGGGCGCCATGGGCGCACAATTTGTGTTTATGGATGACAACGCCCGTCCTAACCGTGCAAACATCGTAAGCGAATGCCTTCAATCGGAGGATATCACCCGTTTGGACTGGCCAGCATTATCACCGGACTTGAATCCAGTAAAGCACGTGTGGGATATGGTTGGCCGACGAGTTGCAGCCCGTCAACCTCCTCCTGCATGTGTACAGGAACTTCGGAGAGCATTGCTTTTTGAGTGGTGTAATATCCCACAAGATCAGATCGATAATTTGATACTCAGCATGCCTAGGCGTTTTACGGACTGTATTGCATCCTATGGGAGACATACAACGTATTAACAATCATACCAGCCATGTAATATTGGTTTTTTGTAAATAGATTTTTTTTTGTAATTTGCTCCAGGGAGAAAAAATCGCTAATTTTTTTAATAATATCAAACATATAGCATCTTTTTTGCTTATTACCTATTTTTGAATAAATAAGCCTTACAAATAAGTCAAATTTATTTTGCTTCTAACTCTTCCTTTGCCTGATTTTGCATTATCCTTAATTTATGGACATGAGTGTATATAGAACTGTATGATTCCACGCGGAGGTGTTAACTCATGAACTGTAATTGATAGCGAGTAGGCACCAAGCAGCTATTTAAGATATATAAGATTGATGATGCAAAATTTTGTTTGTATCCAACGGCACCGCGATTCGATTCAATACGTAACTTTTCTGTTATTTTCATTACATGTGTGTGGTGTGGAAGACGTTTAAAAGTGTTATTTGCCCTAGGATATTATCTTCAACTCCCCTATCACATATATTATTTTTATCGTTTCACCAAAACTACCGTTCATAAGAGAAGGAAGAAACACACATCTTGATCATTCTTTATAGCGTCTCTTCACAAGGCTGTATGTGCACATTTAAGGATCTTAAAGCATCCTCAATAATTAATTATGATGACACATAATATTTCCAAGAAAATAAAGCTGGTCAGTTACTCACTGACAATTCTGTACATTTCCTGTCTCATACATACAGGATAATTTTGTAGAAAAACTGAAAATTGAAAATCTCTACGACACATTCTCTGCTTACAAAAAAAAAAAAAAAAAAAAAATGGCGGCGGGTGGAAGCCAGCAGCCTCGTCCCTAGCAGCCCTCGGTGGAATAATGCGTCACAAAACCGATTCGATCGGACTTTATGCTCTCGCGTTGAGCAATGAAGATTATTTTGTGCAGATCGCAGTGTATAAGCTTGCTTTTACAATGACCAACAGTGCAAGAAAAATCTGTAATGTCACCAGCCCGACATCTTCAAGATCTGTCGCCGAAAGACAAAGAGAAGCACCGGTATATCGTAAGTACTTTTGCTTTTTTGTTTGATAAGACCTTTAAACTGACTCGCATTTAAATATAGTATAAGACAGACCGCGGTCATAATCTCCCTTTTAAAAAAATCCCTATAGATAGAATATCCCTATATATAGGAAAATCCCTATATATCTATAGGTTACGAAAGGAGGTTACGAAATAGGAATAAGGTTACGAAAATATAATTTAGAAGCGCATTGGGAAGATGTAAGAAAGAGTATAATACATACAAGTAGTTCTTATATTAGTAAGTCAGATACCAAATCCCAGATGAAGGATACTTTACTCCTTAGAGACCATAATCATGGTGCACCATTTTTGATTACAAGAA